CGTATGCATCAAGGAGATTCCGTTGGAGCTGGGTCATTGTGATTCGAGGGTGGTCCATCGAGGACGGTTGTCACTCTCAGGCTTTCATGGACGCGTCGATGGCGAACCATTCTCTGGCTGTGCTGCCGACATAACGGGTCAACGCGTAGTTGAAGGTCCCGCCCACGACGACACCGATCCCGAAAGGAAGCGCCTTCTCGAGCGCTTTTCGGGTGAATACGATGCCGAGCTTCTTGAACATCTCCTTGATGGCTTGCAGGACCGCCCCGCGCAGGTATTGCTTGAGCATCTTGACGCCCGCCTTGCTCGCGAGTTGAACCGCGGCCTGCTCTCCCGCTTTCTCGAGTGCTCCGCCCGCGGCCAGGAGAAACGAGATATGCCGGGCGTCTTCGTTGTTGAGGTCATAGTCATAGGCAGCCGCCATGCACATGCACATGTCGACTTGGAGCTTCATACTCGCGGCGGCGTCAGCGATCGCGCCTCCTGTCACAGCGACCGCGGTTCCCACACCTGGTATAATACCAGCCAGTCCGCTCGCGCCGCCCACTGCGCCAGCCATTTTCGAATATCTGGCGACGATTCTTTCGGCGATCGCGTCCTGCATCTCATGATGCGAGAGTCCCTTTCCTTCGAGTTGCTTGCGATAATTTGTGGCGACTTCTTCCGCATCTGCTGGCGCGATCGCGATGGCTTCGACCATCTTCAGGAGTCGCCCTCCATCGACTTGCTCGGTCTTTTTGCTCACGTCGTCCCTCCTCGTTGTTTTGGAAATCTTTGTTTTTGGAGTGAAAGCGTTTGTTCACACTCCGTCGAGTCCTCTCATCAGCCTTGCTGACACTTTTTCGCCAGAAAAATAAATTTGTTTACCGCTCACCCCGAGCAGGCGTGCCAGCACGAGAACTTCAGGGGCTCCAGTCCATGGACAAACCTGTAGCGGTCGTAGCGCTCGCCAAAGGCCCTCGCCTCGCGATCGAGCAGCTCGCTGCGCAGGGCAAACCAGGCGAGCGGGCGCCTTCGCATGGCGGGGATGATCCTTGTCGGGGCGTCCACGCCGAGGTGCTCGATCGTGAGGTCGAGGATGTCGAGGTTATCGAAGATACCGCGCTCGGTGGCTTGTTGCAGCCAGGTGGTGTCCTCGGGCGCGAGGGTGAGGGTGAGCTCGCGAAGGTTCGTGTGGTCAGTCAACAGCGCCTCGAGCGCCTCGGTGGCGACCGCGTGGCCGGAGAGGTCGAGCGCGCCAAGGTGTGCGGGGACCTGCGCGAGAACCTCTGCGGTCAGGCGCATATCCTCTGGCGCTGCGCCCTGGCAAAGCGCGAGGTGCTCGAGCGAGGGCTGCCTTCGCGCCCAGCTCAAAAGCGAATTGACCTGGCTCATCTCCTCGAAGCTCGTGGTGAGCGAGAAGGACTCGAGCGCGCGTGAGGTCGCCTGGTCGATGTGATCGAGCATCGAGGAGGTGAGCTCGGCGGTCGTGAGGGAGAGGTGTCGAAGCTGCTTCGCGTCGAGCAGTGAGAAGGCCTCGGGTGAGAGGTGCTGGCCTCGATCCGTGGTGATTTTTAGTGACTCGAGCTCGCTCGCGGCGAGCTCTCCCCAGGGCGCGTCACGCATGTCGCGCTCGCGCAGCTTTATACGCAGCGCTCGGAGCGATGGCATCGCGTCACAGATGCCGTCGAGGTGCTGCCCCGAGCACAGATACGCGCGCTCGAGCGCGTCGAGTGATTTTTGCGCGGACAGCCTCTCGAGGTCTCCAGCGCCAAAGGGGACATCGCCGAGGTCGAGCGCGGTGATACGGTCCATGTCGACAAAGCGCAGCAGGTGCGCGGGCGTGATGTCTGGATCCGCGGGCGCCTCGATGGCGAGCGTCTCGAGCGTCGGCGCCATCGCCGCGAACGCCCGGGCGCTCCTGTCATCTGTCACCGAGAGCTTGCTCACCCGAAGGTGCTTTAACCTCGGGTGGCGCTCCTGCTCGAACAGCGCGTCGAGGTTATCCTTCTTGCCGAGCGAGGGCTCGGGCAATACCAGCGTCTCGAGCGCCTCACACCGCGCGAGCATTGGGAGCAACATCGAGGTCGGCACCGCGTGCGTCACGCTCACGAACGCGCGCAGGTGCGCCCTGGCCTCTCCCGAGAGCGCCTGCGTCAGGATATGCCTCATCGGCATCCTGGGCGTGTGCACGTCGAGGCGCTCGATGTGCGCGGCGGTCGAGAGCTTCTGCCCGAGCAGCATGTTCGGCGCCCCCTGGAGCGCCGAGAGCGTGGCCTGATTCACGAGCCCGAAGAGCTCCCTTCGCTTCGCGCCGCCCATGCCGTGCAGCCACCTCGGGGGCGCCTGTCGCATCCCCTGCTCCCACTGCGAGACGCTCGCGACGAGGTAGGCGATGACATCCTCCGGCTCGGCGCGACCTGTGTGATCCACCGTCTGCAATATCCTCGCCCACTTCCAACCCTGCTCGCGCGGGGCGTTCAAGATCGAGCGCAGCTCGCCAAACCTCTCTCTACCATTTCGCTCTGTCATTCTGTCTCCTGTTCCTTCGCGTCATGTCCAGTCTCGAAGAAGACTTCACCAACGGCGCCTGCGCCGCCCGGGGAAGTGTCGTACCTTGCCATCGTCATCCCCCTCCTCCTGCCCGAGCGTGAAGGTGATGTCCCCCTCGTGCTCGAGGTTGTCCCAACCACACACCTTCCCGCGCCGCATCAACTCGACGGCGAACGCGTTGGAGTGCTCGCGCATCAGCGCGGCGACCTTGCCCCGGTGTTTCTCGGGCACCTCCACGCCGACGCGCGCGGCGAGCTCGTCGATGAGGTCGTCGATGAGCTCCTCGCCAGGGGCCTCGAACAACAGGATCTGGTCGATCCTGCCAGGGCGCCTCATCGCGCGCGGCAGCTCGGTGTGATCGTTGGAGGTGAACAGCACGAGCGGCACCTCGCAGTACCCCTCCTCGAAGAAACGCAGCCTCGCCTCGAGCGCGTGGCTCCCCACTCGATCGATGTCGTCGACGATGATGGCCGTCGGCCTTAGCAGGTCGAGCAGCTCGCGCCACTCCGAGCAGGAGAACTCGTCGTAGGCGTCGGGCGTGAGCATCAGCGTGCGCTCGGAGAGCTCCCTGGCGGCGTGCAGGCAGAAGGTCGACTTGCCGCTCCCCGGGACCCCCTGGCAGAGGATCACGCGCCTCATTTTCGCATCCATGAAGGACTCCCAGCGGGGCAAATGCTCGAGCATTTGCCCGTGGTAGCGCACCTCCCCGAGGTCGAGCTCGCGCGCGACGATCTCTCCGCGATCCACCGCGTCGAGCAGCACGCCAGAACGCCCGCGCCAGAAGAGCTCGGCGATGCCCGCGCGTGTTTTGGCGAAGCCCTCCTCGCCATCTCTCGCGTACACGTCTCTGCCATAGCCCCTGTGATCTTCCCCCTCGAAGATCAGGCTCGCGCCGCCAGGGAGCGCGACCTCGAGGTGATCTTCCTTGCCGTCGGCGTAGGCGAGCGTGGGTGGCGCGCGCCGGGTGAGCTCGGAGAGGATGAACGTGTTCTCGAGCTTGAAGGCTTTGTAGCCGTGTGCGGTGAGCCAGTCAGAGGCGCGGTCGAAGTCGCGCTGGAGCAAGAAGGAGACGTCCCCCTCGCGCTCGGTGCGCGCCCAGCCGAGGATCTTCGCGCGCCTCATCGCCTCGAGCGCGTGCGCCGCCGAGTACTCCTCGTGCAGCGCGAGCAACCAGCGCATGCGCTCCTCCGGGATCTGGACGCCGACCTCGCGCGCCATCTGCCTCAGGATCGCCTCGCGCACGTCGCGGTCGGGCTCCTCGAAGCGGATGATCTGATCGATGCGGCCTGGCCTGCGGAGCGCCTCGGGGAGCCTGCTGTGCGCGTTCGAGGTCATCAACACGAGCGGCACCTGGCAGTGCCCCTCCTCGAGCAGGCGCAGGTACTTGCCGAGGTTGTGCCCTTCCCGGTCGATGTCATCGATGATCAACACCTCTGGGCGCGTGACCTCGAGGAGCTCGAACCAGTCCCCAGGGCGAAGGTCGGTCATCACGCTCGCGTCGAGCAGCAAGGCCCTTCGCGAGAGCGCCCGCGCGGCGTGGTGACACATCGTCGTCTTGCCGCACCCGGGAGGGCCCTGGAGCAAGATGTTTCGCCGGATGCCTCGCGCCAAAAACTCCCGCCACTGGTCGATGAGCGCGAGGTTCTCGCCCATATACACGAAGCCCTCGAGCGGCACGCTCCTGTCGAGCAGTGATTCCCCGTGCTGCTCGATCCGGATCGCGCCCCTCCCCTCCCAGAATAGCTCCCCCGCTCGCGCGAGCAGCGCGGCGAGCTCGGTGATGCCTCGCTTGTCGGTGAAGAGCTTGGGCCGCACGCGTTCCTGGTGCGCGTATTGCGCGGCGAGGGGGATGTCGTCTGTCAGGCAGAAGACCTCGACGACCTCCTGCTCGCCCTCGTAGACGCGGGCCCAGCCCTCGAACATCATCAGCCTGCGGGTGAGCAGGTCTGGCAAGCTGACGGGCGCCTCGAGGTCGAGCCACGCCCTGGCCTTGGCGGCGTTGGCGAAGCGTCGGTTCGGGTCCACGCTCGCGTCGAGCAGACGCGAGGCGAAGTCACTCCAGGTGGAGGGCTTCGAGGCGTCGAAGTTTCCCATCAGGTGCCCGAGCAGCTCGATCTTCTTCCTCGCGCTCCCGAGCGACTCTTTCGCGCCCGGTGGCACCTCCACCTCTCCGCTCATCACGCGCGCCGCGAGCGCCATCGCCGCGCCGGTCACGATCCCTGTCAATGCGATCGACATCTTCTCCTCCCTCGCTCTCCTCATCGGTTGTGGTCACCTCTTCGAGGCGCGAGGGCGAGCGGGGCTGACACTTTTTGTGCGAAATCATCCTCATTTTCTCGTTCTTCAGGTCAGCGAGCACAAAAAATTCATCTCTTTCTGTCATCGAAGCGTGGCCGCGCGCTCTCTCGTGGTGAGAAGCGATTCGTTTCATTCGATCACACCCACGAGGGAGGACATTTATGATGAGGATGACCGCTGTCATGTATGCTGTCGTCATCGCGGCGCTCCTTTCTGGCTGCGAGGAGCAGCCAGAGAAGCCGCCGGCGAAAGAGACCACGCCCGAGGTCACGAGCGAGCAGCCCGCGGCCAGAGCCAGAGGGCTAGAGATCACGCTCGGCGACCACGCGACGCCCGCACTAGAAGCGCTCGTCGCCGAGTGTCACGTCCCCTCGCCCGAGGAGCTCGCCATCATCAGCGTCCTCTCTCGCGAGGGCGCGCCCGTCGAGGACGCGGCGCCCGCGCTCGGGGTAGCGCTCCCCGAGGATGACTTCGCCAGGGGTAAGGCGAAGAAGGAGCTCGAGGAGAAGCTCGCGGCTCATAAGAAAGAGCTCGGCGCGAAGGTCTTGTGCCTTCGCCTCGAGGTCGGCGTCGAGCGCTATGACTTCGACCGCGAGCGCTTTGCCCTGAAAGAGGACAACGCGTTCGCGGTGGTCGCGGACCTGACGGAGAACGCCACGACGCAGCGAGAGCGCCTCTCGCTCGAGCGCGGCGTCGAGCTCGGTGATTCGCCCTGGCCCGCCATGCTCGTGGCGGTGCTCCCCGGCAAGCATATCTCCGCGTCGAAGAAGGACGCCGAGCGCGTCA